GTTTACCTGCCGCGTCCGCAGGTTCGGCCCATCGCGGTTCCCACTGGCCGCGGTTCGCCTCTCCAGGCCGATGGGGGCTGCAGAAAGTGGCACGGGCCCAGGGACGTGCTGGCCGCCCTTCCTGCAGCCCCCATTGGCCTGGAGCGGCAAACCGCGGCCAGTGGGGGCCGCAATCGGCCGAACCTGCGGAAGCGGCAGGTAAACAAACCGGCCCGCCCTGCCAGGGGCTTTCCCTGAACAAGCGGCAGCCCAAGTATGAGAACCACTGATCTAGACCATCCCTGACAGGTGTTTGTCCAACCTGCTCTTAAAAATCCCCAACGATGGAGATTCCACAACCTCCCTAGGCAATTTATTCCGGTGCTTAACCACCCTGACAGTTAGAAAGTTTTTCCCAATGTCCAACCTAAACCTCCCTTGCTGCAATTTAACCCCATTGCTTCTTGTCCTTGTGACATTACACTCCATAGCCTTTATGGAAATATCCTTATGATATGGATATGACATAACAGATGTATTTTATGCAAGATGGCTCATGTAAGATATCATTGGAAAAGTTATGATTTACAGAATGTGATTATCCAATTTGTATACACGTATCATTTCTGTATCTAAAGTTAGGAATATGGACTAGGTAACAATTGCAACTGGGTGTATATTGGGAAGACACCCACCAGATGACAGGCCACCAGATTTGATGGGCCATTGGGAAAGGAACAACAAGACTGTGAAGATACTAATCTCTCTCCCTCCTAATAGGCATTCTGGGACGTAACTGTGACACTACTAGGTCAGGTGGTCTTGTCACCTGATACTAAACATTATTTTGGACTTCTTGTAACTTTCCATTAAAAAGGGGGTCAAGTTTGGGAAACAAAGGATTCCCGCCTTATGTAAACCTTATTTAAGGGTGAGGAGCAAGGCAAACGGGACTTCTCTCCATGACCTGTCTGCCCAAGAAGAAAGACTGCAAAAGACAACTGAAGGGAAGGCAAGGGTGGAGTCCAGTCTGGAAAGAAATATAACTAGAACGCTAAGCTATAGAAACTTTGCAACCTGCCTAAAATAACATTTAGGATAAGAAGTTACATTTTGTAACCTGTTCCTTAAGTATACTGAGCTTAGCTTGCATATTTTGTTTTGTTTGCTCAGTAATCTGCTTTGTTCTGTTATCCCTTATATTCACTTAACATTCACCTTTTGTAGTTAATAAACTTATTTCTTGTTTATAATATAACCCAATTTGTGCAATTCATAATTGGGAGGGGGAGGTGGAAGAGGCTGTGCCTACCTTCCTCCACATTGAGGGAGGAGGCGGATTTCATAATATACCTTTGGGTTTGCATTCCAAGGGAGGTGGAGTGCTGGGGCAAGTCCCTTAAACTGATCTCAGTGTCTGTGTTGTTCTGCAGTTAGGTGTGGCCCTGCCTGTGTGTGTGCTTAATAGCCTGCCTCAGCAAGACAGGTTAAAGGGGGCCCAGGCTGGCAGAGCAGGCAGACTCAGTGGTATCTCAGCACATCAGGTGGCAGCTTAACAGGGGGCAACCCGTTACAGTCCTATCCTCAGAGGTTAAGAAAAACAATGTTTCTCCCTCCTCCTTGTAACAACCTTTTACATACTTGAAAACTGTTATGTCCTCTCTCAGTCTTCTCTGTTCCAGACTGAACAAACCCAATTTGTTCAGTCTTCCCTCATAGGTCATGTTTTCTAGACCTTTAATCATTTTTGTTGCTCTTCTCTGGACTCTCCCCAATTAGTTCACATCCTTCCTGAAATATGGTGCCCAGAACTGGACACAATACTCCAGTTGAGGCCTAATCAGTGCAGAGTAGAGCGGAAGCATTACTTCTCGTGTCTTACAATGCTCCTGCTAATACATCCCAGAATGATGTTCGCTTTTTTTCCAACAGCATTACACTGTTGACTCATATTTAGCTTGTGGTCTACTATGACCCCCAGATCCCTTTCCGCAGTACTCCTTCCTAAGCAGTCATTTCCAATTTTGTATCTGTGCAACTGATTGTTCCTTCCTAAGGGGAGTACTTTGCATTTGTCCTTATTGAATTTCATCCTAGTTACTTCAGAGCGTTTGTCCAGATCATTTTGAATTTTAATCCTATCCTCCAAAGCACTTGCAACCCCCTCCTCCCCCAGCTTGGTATCGGCTGCAAACTTTATAAGCGTACTCTTTATGCCATTATCTAAATCATTGTAAAGCCATCTGTATTTTTATTTAATCATTATAATTCAATTTAATAATTATACTTTAATTAGTTTAATAAGTATATTTATTTTGAATATTGCACTGTCCCAAACCACCCTGCCAGAAGGGTGGAAGATGATTTATAAATACAATTGAAAGTGACTAGACAATGGTGCCCAATTTTGTGAGTGCAATATCAGAAGCCACTTTTAAAAGTTTGTGTCTTCAGAGTTAGAATCCAAAATACTATTGAAAAATGTGTAAAAATCTTTCCCTTCTTTCCCAAACACTATAAAAACGATTTTTCGGTGTCTAGGACAAACTACAGGGATAGAAAACAGGTGTCTTATATTTAACTCAACTATCACTGAATGAAAAGGACTGTGGGGTTTTTGTTTTGTTTTTTATCCATACCTGTCTTGAAAATAGGATCAGAGTTACATAAAACAGAGCCAGGTATAAGTTAGTCATCGATATTGGATCTTTCATGAAAAACCTGGAATACAGAAAAGCAACATACAATCGTCGTTTTGAATCTTTTGGAATCTCTGGATGTTTATAAACAGAACCCCCTGGCGTTCCGAAGAACTCTAACAGAAACAACACAAGTGACAGTCCCCCAATTTTAACGTAGTCCCTCTGCTTATGGGTCCTGTCTTCATAGCTGTTCGCCTGCATCTTAATGGGGCTTTTCAGTCATACTGAGCTAACACATTTGAAAATCACACCCCTTTTTGCCCAGCAAGACATAACCACAGGGGCTTAAAGTAGGAAACAGCTTCCTTGCTTGTGATGGGCAAAAAGACTAAGAGCTTGTCTACAAGACAACTGGAGCTGAAATAAATCAATCTGCTGTAGTTCACACCTTTAGATATTTCGGTATAAGTCTGAGTGGACGCACTTATTCTGGAAGAAGAGTATTCCATGTCACACTTCCAATCCACTCACTGAAATAACTAAAAGTGGGAATTCCAACAGATTTAGTTATTTGAGTTCAGTTCCTGTGTTAGACCAGCCTGAAGTCTCAGCATGCTCACGCTATCTTTTGGCTTGATCTCACAGCTCAGACAACTGCCACGCTATGAAACAACTGTGAGATTGTACCCAGAAGATTTGCAAATGAGCACATCAAGCTTCCCACATGGTACACACGATTTATTTTATGGCTTCTTTGCCCTGTTCAATTAGACTGGAGGAGTTAAATGTTTGGTTTTTAAAAGTATTTGGAATCAGGAAAGTAATTTCACAGTTAACTGTTGTGCTGATAAAAGTGGTATGATTAGTGTTGCTTTGGCAAACACATGTTCTCCCAAATACTCACTCCCCATCAGCTCTGGACAAATATTGGATATACCGTGAATATAAATGTCCTACCATTTTCTAAAGGTTTAATGTACAATGTAGACAAAGTGCCCTAGACTTTGCCATGCCATTCTTCCCCTATGGAAAGTGGAGTACAAAGTACCACACATCTTAGGGTTATTACATTGTGAAGTTTATTTTAAAAGACTATTTTAATGAGCAGCTAAAGTAAGCTCACTTAAGAACCAGCTAAAGCAGATCTATTGACCGAATAACTCAATATTATGGAGAATACTGGAATTTTATGGAGAACAGCCTCCTTCATAGTTTATAGGTTGAGGCCAGCTTCACATTATAGGCTCAGTTTTCAAATTCCCCTCACTAAAATCCCCAAAATGAAACCAGTCTCCCTGAAATTTCACATCCCAAATCTCAACCCATGAATGGTACTATTTTTATGGGAAGTCTGGAAAAAGAATTTTTTTCCTAAGATTATGATATATAAAAAAATGTCCTAATTGTTTTGGCTCAAAGTGTTGCAGTACTTCAAAATTCCAATGAAAGTGAAGGACTCTACCAATCCTTTTCATGGAGAATTATTGTCCATTACTGGGGACTTCATAGCATACCTTAGAGTGGTATTGGTGGTGTTGTTGTAGCCTGCACTCAAGTTCTTTGAGGGATTAAAGATGAAGATGTAGACAGTAAAAGCGATGGACAGAAGGAGAACTTTGAGTTCGAAGCTCATCCGAAGGAATACAGAGCAAGCAATAAACCCTAATATGCAGCAATAAGTATAATACTGTAACAGAAGAAGTTAATGAGATGCTGAATAATTCACAGTCTTAGGACAAAGTATATTTTACTGCTTGTAAGGCTAGGAATTTCATGGCTATCATAATTTAGATCAAGTAAAGAATTAAAGCAGTTGTCAGATATAATCTGTTTTTTGGAAAATCTACTAACAGACAAAACTTAGGCTTTCACCAATTTATCCTTGGATTTATCCAACATAAAACATCATTATATAAAAAACAATTAAGCAACACCTTGTACAAATGAAAGTGAAGAGCTTTTGACAAGAGGCTTTTTTTCCTATAACTTATTAGTTTTAAAAATGGATTTCTATTAATGTTTTGAAGATCAAGACTAATTTAGAGAGACAACATAGTCTAGTGCAGGGGTAGGCAACCTGCGGCATGCAAGCTGATTTTCAGTGGCGCACACACTGCCCGGGTCCTGGCCACCAGTCCGGGGGGGCTCTGCATTTTAATTTAATTTAAGTGAAGCTTCTTAAACATTTTAAAAACCTTATTTACTTTACATACAACAATTGTTTAGTTATATATTATAGACTTAGAGAAAGAGACCGTCTAAAAACGTTAAAATGTATTACTGGCACGCAAAACCTTAAATCAGAGTGACTAAATGAAGACTCAGCACACCACTTCTGAAAGGTTGCTGACCCCTGGCCTAGTGACTTAAGCAGAAGGCTGGGAACCAGGAATTTCAGGATACAACTACACTATAAAAAATACACCACACAGCAGTGACTCTCAGAGCCTGGGTCAACTGACTGTCTTGTGCTTTGGAGCTAAAAGTACCATTGTAGACATTGCCATTCGGGCAGGAGCCTGGGTCCGAAACTGAGCAAGGCGTTGGGCCTCAGAGCACAGGCTCCAGCCTGAGCAGGTACCTCTCCACTGCTATTTCTAGCCCCATAGCAGGAGCCTCACAAACCCGAGTCAGCTGACCCAGGTTCTGAGACTCATTGCGGTGGGGGTTTTTTACTCTGATTTTTGACCATGACTCCCTTTGCAATCTTGAGTAAGTCACAGCCTCTTTGTGTCTCAGTTTCCTCATCTGTGAAATAAAGATACTACCACTACTTATTTACCTACCAGTGGGGAAGGGGGGGGCGTGATTCATTAATGTGGTAAAGAATTTTGATGACTTGATCCAAAACCCAGTGAAGTCAATGGAAGAACTCCCATTCACTTCAGTGGGCTTTAGATCAGACTTTAGGCAAATCCTAAGTATTGTTTCAAAATATTTACCAGTTTTACAATCACATTCTTTGTTTCTTTTGAGTATAAAAGAGAAAAATATATACAAGGCACTGAACAAATTACTAAACTCTTTGTACCATAATAGTGATAACAGATATAGGGCAGATCAATAGAGCTAGCACAATTTACACCAACTGAGGATCTGCTCAATAGCACGTGATATACTGTATTGGGCCAAACTTGTCCTCTTAAAAGACCTTGGGCCTGATTTTCATAGATTCAAAGGCCAGAAGGGACCATTGTGATCATCTTGTCTGACCTTCTGTATACCACAGGCCACCGAACTAACTCAAAATAATTCCTAAAGCAGATCCTTTAGATCAACATCCAATCCTGATTTAAAAACGGTCAGTGATGGAGAATCCACCACAACGCTTGGTAAATTGTTACAATGGATAATTACCCTCACTGACAAAAATGTACACCTTATTTTCAGTCTGGATTTGTCCAGCTTCAATTTCCAGCCATTGGATTGTGTTACACCTCTCTCTCCTGGATTGAAGACCATTATTAAATTATTTGTTCCCCGGGTAGATACTTACAGACTGTAATCAAATCACCTTTCTTTTTGTTAAGCTAAATAGATTGAGCTCTTTGAGAACACAGTATTCCAACAGCAGTGTCAAATACAGAGGTAAAATAACCTTTCTACTCCTCCTTGAGATTCCCCTGTTTACCCATCCCAGGGTCACATTTTCAAAGGTGCTGAGCACTCAAAGTGTCCATCAGGACTTTAAGAGTGAAATTCACTATACGTATGTCAACAATGCAGCAGGGAAGGTACTTCTCAGTGCAGGAAAACAGACCCATGCTAGCTCTGCTTGAGCCAGCATGCTAAGAGTAGCAGCGTAGCTGGGGGTAACATGGGTGGCAGCTTGAGCTAACTGCCCAGTACCAACTGGGGCTCTTGATGGGTTTGTACTCAGGCAGCACCTTTCCAGCTGCAGTGTAGACACACCATATATGCAAGAGGTCAGTGCATATCCATGTACCATTTAAAACCTTTCCCCCCATGCTACCAGTATACCCAAATACACTTTACAGTACAATAAATCATCAATATTTCAGTTATATCCACCATTTGTTTGCTTACTACTTTTCTCAAATTCCAGCTTTGCTTTTTTTAAATCCGAAAATTCCAAAAAGAGAAGCTATAAAAGCATCTTCTTTAGATTCCACCTAATGCAGAAAAATAGTATGAATGACCATAGACAGGACAGCTGGAATTGCAGAGGTGAAGCTTTGTGCGCTCAATAATTAAAAAGCTATATTTTTAAAGAGCAAGGGGAAGATACCAAGCGCCTGCCAGCTGTCAATATTAAACCCAGCATTTGAGAAGCGTGTGTTTTAATCTTGGAAGAAAACTGGTGTTCTACTCACAGGCAAGACATCCTTAATACAGGATTCAGTATAGTCCACAGCTGTACTTTTTTCAGTACCCTGATTCACAGGCTGGAAAGAATGGAAAAGTTGATTAGCAGCAGAATGGGATGTGCCCCATACGCAAACAGCACATCATTACAGCGATGAGGGCGTGCACAAAAAGGTCATGTCAGAACTTGCAGCATATGTTTCAAAAACCGACCTAGCTCAGAGCTGGGCAATCAAGTGAGAAAACTTGTTCATGACCATTCTGGTGACTCTTCAACAGAATTTCATTTCTGAACATTAAGTGCCAAAATCTGAGTGCAATTCCCCTGAAATCAATGAACAGACTCCCTTTGGATGTCAATGGGAATTGGGTCAGTCCTTAAGTAAGTGCTAATTATTCTTTAATTTTAAAATATTTCCCACCTTTAAAGCACATTCTTGTCTGTCTGGGCTATAAATTGAAAAATCTACAGACTGAAAAAAAGACTAAATTGCCCAATAGGATTCTATATAAAGTTTAACAGATAGATAATAGTATACACTCTATTGTACTGTACCAAACTGGTCCCCTAAGTACACCTGAATTTCAAAAGGTGGTGAATGCCCACAACTAACGACTTCATCTGGCATCAGGAGTGCTCAACACTTCTGGAAAATCCAGAAAGATGAACTACAAAACCATCTCTTGGAGAACCCACATAATGCAGGGAATTACAGCTGGAAATGCTTACTGACAGGAGTTTTGGGTTATCAATCATTTAAAAGCTCTATTTTCATAAAGAGAAGGGAAGTTACAGAGAACCTGCCAGCTGTCAATATTACACAGAGCATTCCAGGTCTCTGTTTTCATCTAGGAAATGGAAGTGATGCTCTACTCACCACACAGGTGACAGCCTCATCACTTGATCCAGTAGCGTTTGTGGATCTACTTTTTTCACCAGGCTGATTCATTGTCAAGAAAGAATATAAAAGCTGATTAGCAGGTGGGGAGAGGGGGGCGAGTGGGGAGACAGTCATTGGTTACATAAATAATAGCACGAGCACCCTGGGGCCCTGCTCTGATTGCCCTCTGGGCCCTACTGTACCATAAACGTTAAATATCAATGATGATGCCCTGTACGCATGCGGCACATCGGCAAAGTGATCTGGGGTTGCAAGAAAAGGTCATGTCAAAACCTGACACAAGTTTTTCAAACGTGAACCTGTTTTCAGAGCTGGGTGACCAAGCAAGAAGAGTTATTAATGAATATTTTGGTGACTTCTAAACAGATTTTTGTTTTTCAGTTTTATGGGCCAAAAGTCCAATGCAATACGTACATTGAAGTCAATAAAAAGACTCGCTTTGGATTTCAATGAGAATTGAATCAGACCCTAAATCCTGCAGTCCTTATTCAAGTGAACTCCCATAATGGGACTGACAACTGAGTAAACACTCCTGAATAGGACCATAAATATACCATCATGGCTCTGTTTTAAAACAGGGGTCCAATTCATACTTTCCTTGGTTTTCCCCCTCAGTGACCTTAGCTAGTGCAATGATGAAGTGCTGTTTTGCCTATACATCATAAAACCACTACCCACTCACGCCCCAAATAATTTCATGTTATAAAAAAGCTGCAGTTCTCTTATAGCAATAGTAATTATAACCAGCGGATACTATAAACAGACAGCTTGAAACAAAGAGAATGTGATATTATATATGGATTTCTGGTTCTACAAATTGGGTGTCTTTCCTCTGCATTCTACTTTGCCCAACATACATCATTATCTTTCCGTACATCAGCTCAATGTTAAAAGCAAGTAGTGAAGAGTTAAACATCAGAAAATAGGGCCAAGAACATGGTACTTGAGATGGGAGAGGAGTGGGGTGGTCAAGTCTGCAAAGGTTATAAAATGAAAGAAATGCACAGAATAAAGATAAATGCAAGTACTTACCAAATTAAAAATGGCAATAATCAGCAACGCACCTATAGTGATGACTGCTAAAGGGAGTCTCACTAGAGGCATGGTTTCTACCTTATCCGAAATAGCACAAAGATGGCGCATAGAAGGCCATTGTTCTGAGCAGCATTTCTGTAAAGGAAACAAGTTTGTCTTAACAAGATGTATTACATGGAGGCTTTAGTGTGCCAAGAGTCATAATTCTAGATACAAGAAAAAACATTTTGTCCATTGCACACACAAAAGTCTCAATACAGTATTAAACAATCACCAGGGCACAAGAAAATGTTATCTCTGTTTTAAACAGAGAAGTGTTGTTCTCTAATGGTCAGAGCAAGAGACTGAGAGCCAAGACACTCGGGTTGTATTCCCAGCTCCAGAACTGACTCACTGAAAGACACTGGACAAATCACAACTATGCCTCAGTTTCCCCATTAATAAAATGGAGATAAATGCTTCCTTATTCCACAGGGGATGTTTTCTGAGACTCAGTTAATTTATGTTTTCAAAATAGCTTCATGTCACCTAATGAAACATGCTAGAGAAATTATTATTAAATTGTTTACACTAAAATTTGCTATTTTTTCTTTTATGCTTCAAACAAACAACTTAAAGGAAGCCAAATAAAATAAACCAATCATACACCAAAAAAAAACCCAAAACGGCACTTCCTATAATGGAAAAAAAAAATCTCTTTGCTAACACATACATCTATGCAGAATGCAAACATTATGCCAGTGGAACAAAAGCTTCTTATTCTGGGATACTGAATCCAAACTGTCCTTTTGTAGTACCCGGTTGGCAAAATCAAGCCTAATGCAATGTTGGTTATGGATTTCTTCCTTTTTCTTCCCTCCTGTGGCTCAGCAGAATATATAATACAACATGTGCAATTCAAGAAGGGTCTGCTACTTAATCCTGTAACAAAATTACCATTCTTATATCAGGATGCAGTGAATTGGGGGGGGTGGGATAGCTCAGTGGTTTGAGCATTGGCCTGCTAAACCCAGGGTTGTGAGTTCAATCCTTGAGGGGGCCACTTGGGGGATCTGGGGCAAAATCAGTACTTGGTCCTGCTAGTGAAGGCAGGGGGCTGGACTCGATGACCTTTCAAGGTCCCTTCCAGTTCTAGGAGATGGGAATGCAGTCTTTTGGCCTAAGGGTATGTCTACACTGCAATTAGACACTTGTGGCTGGCCTGTGCTAGCTGACTGGGCCTCCCAGGGCTCAGCTAAGGGGCTGATTAATTGTCATGTAGACATTCAGGCTCGGGTAGCAGCCCAAGCTCGGGGACTCTCCCACCTCGCACGGTCCTAGATCTTGGACTCCAGCCCAAGTCCAAACGTCTATACACCGTAACTAAACAGCCCTGTAGCCCAAGACCTGCAAACCTGAGTCAGCTGGCACTGGCCAGCCACAGGTTTTTAATTGCAGTGTAGACATACCCTAAATGGCTTAGGCCCTGGCTACCTAAGAGAACCATCTCTTTCCACATCTTTTTTCATGGTAGCTGAGATCTGCAATGCCGGGAGTGGCTGATGGCAGGAAATTCTCAACAAAGCTTTAAAATTCACTTCCCTCCTTGGTCCACCAGAGCCAAGTTTAGTGACCTTAAGAACACACAGTAACGCTCCCCTGTTCTCCCAGGCATTTTCAAAACAGAGGGCTGATTTGGGGGTGGGCAATGGGGAGGCTGGACTGGAGGATGTTGTCTCGTTTTGTAGAATTGCACTCTGTTTTTGTGCAGCCTGTTTTAATTTTATTTGCATACATTTGGTAACGTACCTGTGCACCACAGCATAGTCAATTCAAATGCAAGTCATTTTACTTTCTAGAATTCTAGGTTTACTTAGGTCCACCTTTAAGAGCGTTACCCTTCTGCCAGCTATGGAATCGCCACCATTACAACATTCATGGATTTGCATTTTTCTTATTGCTTATGAATTCTAATAGTCAATCTAGTCCTAAAATCAATATGCACTCAAAACTCCCTTTCACTTGAATGCCAGTTTCAACATAGAAAACTACAGGATCCATAACCAGGATTACCACTATATAGGGTAAAAAAAAACCAGAAAATACGACTGCAAGAACTAAAGGACTTTTTAAAAATCCAGTTAAAAGTGAGTTTACAGCTGTATAACAACATGTAAGAATTACGATCAGAATTTTCAAATGCGGGTGCTGGACAGTCAGTCCCATAATCTATATTTTAGGCACCTAAATACAAATGTCCTGACTGTGGGAAGTGCTGAGCATTAGCAACTCTTATGAAAGCTCAGCACCTCTGAAAAGCAGGTCATTTCTATCTAGATGCCAAACTTTAGCCACCCACTTTTGAAAATATTGGCCTATGTTTGTACTTACCAGGCATTTATCAGCAAAACACACACACAAAATAAGCACAATTATGACTGCTACAATTCCAAATGAAAGTCCTAGTTTTGCGGTTCTAAAACAGAGAGAGGAGAACAAAGTTAAACAGGAGTATTATGCATATTGTCATAGTCAAATTGCAACTGACCAAGCAACACTCACTAATGCAGTTTCCCATAACTAAAATAAGTATCATTGCTGTTCTTTTGGCATTAGATGATCATGAGAAAGGGCCTTCCATGGATGTTTATTGCCCTCTCTTAGCAAAGATTCACTTTCAGGTATTCCACTCTCTCATTCAAATCATGTGTTATTACCCCATGTATAAACCACACAGCCATCATTAGTGTCACAGCAGAGAAAAACAGTTAAGGCAGAAAATTTAAAAGACCAGGGAAAGTCAGCTGTCTCCGAGCTGTGACAAAGAGCCATTTAACAAACCTTTTTTCAAGTTCCTCTATCATGTCTCCTTTTCCTCTCAAAGAAAAGGGAGCATGAGGCATATACGCCATGTGCTCTCAGTGAAGATATCATTATTTTATTAGTAATTGTCCACTTAGCAGTTTCTCATCTTTGTATTTTAGGCTCAAATATTCTTCAGTGATGCTTTTTTGTACTTGAGTAACAGCCTAGTCTCTGGCATTAGAGTCATATTAAGCAACTATATTAATAATGGTATCCATGATCGGATAGCAATACTAGAGCTAATATTACTAACCTAATTCATAATCCTGACATCATTACAAGAGATGTTTGTGGTAAGAGTTTCCTTAGTGCTCCACAGCCAATTACAGGTGTCTTGCCCTTCTCCCCCATCATCCAGACTCTCACCAAATCTGGTCTTCCTCCTCCAAGCATCTCTGAAGGTGTCTCCATCCTGACTGCTTAAATCTTTGTCAAAATTTGGGCCATCTCTACTGATCTACTGAGTCTTCTCTCGCCTCTGCAAATGTTATCACCAGTCTATACAAGATGCCACTGCTGCAACTAATTTCCTCTAATGAATACAACACTAAGAACTTCTAGTAGTTTCCCAATATGAATTTATAGTAGTCCCCTAAGATTACACTGTATTGTTGAGCTAGTCACTCACATATTCAAACCCCTTCATTGATTTTCTCTTTCCTTCCCCATCAAATTCAGGCTTCAAACCCTCCTGAACTGCCTAACCCTACTCTCCTTTGTTCATCTTTGGTCATTAAGGTGATGGTCAGAAAAACAATCTAAAATGCACTTCCTTACTTAATAGATCTTCTCCCTGTGTGTAGTGAGCACAGCTAAAACACACTACTAAGGAAACACTGTCCACTTAGATTAATGCAGCTGTCCTGGCTCAGGTGCAAAACTACCTATGAATGCACCATACTAACAAAAAGTATGTCACAATTAAGAATGAATATGTATGTGTGTATGTAACTTGTTAGGTCAACCCAGCCATGTCATGCAGGGATATGAGAAATCCACATCCTGAGCGACGTAGGTAAACCTATCAAACCCGTGGTGTAGACAGTTCTAGGTTTATGGTAGAACCCCTCCTGTCACAGTAGTGCATGTCTACATTGAAGCACTACTATAGCGGTTTAAGTGTAGACAGCCTTAGCTACAGCCCTTCAGGATGATCTGGAAGACCTAAAGGTGTCGCTCACATGCAAGCAATGTTTTATCCAGAGAATCCATTTAAAATGTAAAGAAGTGCAAAACACCACACACTTACTTTGGCATGACAAACATCTGTATCACAAATATACAGAGCAACACAATACTGGCACAGGCAAAGTAACTCCTCAGTCTGGGGATGGGGATGGTGCGATACTGAAACAAAGATTGTAATAATTTAATAAGGATAATTCTAGAGTTAGTTTTTGTAATCTACCACTTGTATTTTTTAATTCTACCACAAAGTATCTTTGCACTATACTATTAAGCCAAGAATGTGAAGAGAAAGCCAGCCAACCAACCAGAGAAAATGTACATTTAGGCATCGTTGAAGAAAAATATTCCAGTCCAAAAGAATCAGTTTCTAACCAGCTGGGACACCTAACGAGGTGCAGTAACTGCACAACAGATTATTACACAACATGTAAGTCAGCACAGCTTCCAAACTAACTCTTCCTATAAGGGTTTATTATACGACTATTTATATTATCATAGTGATTGGGGGCCGCATCCTGTGTGAGTAGATTAATACACACACAGTGAAATCTGTTTTAAACTACCACACGAGACACCAGAAGAAAAAGTTTTAGCAGAAGTTCATTTAACTGAACGCTACCCAAAACTGAACTGAAACCTTGACGACACTGATGCAGCCTCAAACTCTTTATGAAAGTTTTACTATATATACACACACATGTAATATATACATATTCCTCATTAATGTGTCCATATGCATAAATCACTCTGGGTTTAACGAGGGATCTCCTCAGACTGGAATGGTTCAGTGAAGGCTCTTCTTTTTGGGGAGGACGGGGATGGGTTGTGGGTCCTACTGAGTTCTGGAAAGGGCGAGCAATAGAATGGTGAAACACTGTATACATAAGGAGATTTGAAATTCAATCCTGCCTCCATTTAAGCCATGACTCAGGATGTTTTAGTATCAAGGATAACGTTACCATTCATATAGGGTATGTACTGTACCTACCAAATATCATACGGCTATATAAAGAAATGATCATGGAAAGCAGAGTCCTATTTGCTACAATGTATGTAAAGAGACATTTTAAATACCTCTTACTGCTTTTTTATAATAAAGATGTTGAGAATAATGCTGGACCCACTGCCAAAACGTCCATTGACTTTAAAGGGCCAAGGTTTAACCCTAGATTATTAACTGGTCCATATTATTAACATTACCAAGAAGCAGGGAATAAGCCAAGTGAACCAAGAGATCTGCATTACATCACATCACCTAAGACGCATTTGGAGCTGCAGTCACCACAGGAATCCCAATATAGGAACAAACTTTATTTTCAATTGTCCTTTCATGTTTCTATGAAGGTACGTCTACACTGCAGCTGGGGGCGAGCCAGTCCCAGCAGCCAGAGATGAGTGTGATAAAAATAGCTATGTGGACATGACAGCTCAGGCTAGCTACTCAAGTTCAGACCCAGAGCTTGGGCTTGGACATGGGCAGCTAGCCCAAGCCATCACCTGTGCTACAATGTCCATCCTGCTATTTTTAGCACGCTCAAGCAGAGCTAATGCATGTCTGTCTACCCCAACTGGAAAGCATGCTCCCAGCTCCCATGTAGACCTAGTCCTTTAACTGTAACTTAGGATAACAAAAAAGATTCATCTCTTACTAACCTCTTTTTCCAATCCTGATTCTACAAAAAACAGTGAGCATCCACAGAAGTCATCTGAGTTACTACACCCTGGTCTGCATTAAAATAGAAATAGGTTTTACAAAATGTATGCAATAAACTAATATAACAGAATGCAAAAATCATATGTTTCAGGTTGGATTCCATGGTTCACATAGCTAGTGGCTTGTTTATCACGGCATAATGTTTTTCTGAACAGCTGGCAAAGCACTCTAAGAGCCTTTACATTTCAGCTATTGGTGGTTTTGCACCAGTTTAGTCATCCCTTTGGTAGTATAGTCATCAATACAAAAGGAATCCAGTCTGAAACCTTCTTGGTTGGGTTAGAGATGTTAGAGATGGATTAGAGATACTAGGTCACCCATGCCTTCACCCTGCAAATACCTGCCATCTATTGGGGATGGTTTGAGTACAATTATATCAGCCTTGCCATAACCCAGTAGAAGGGATGGATGGCTCCCTCCCAATTGAAATGATTCTATGTTTGTAAAGATCATAGGAATTTCTATCCTAGAATTCATTTTAAAAAGATATAAAATACAGCCTTCATCCGACAGATATACTGTACCAACTGCTGTGCCTGCTATTAGCACTGATACTCCATGTACCCTCTGTGAACCAGCCATGGGAGTCATATCTGTAGTGCTCCCAGCAGTTACCCATGTGCTCCTGACCTCTGTCGACATGTATGCCCCAGCTGCCTCACCTTTTGACCTTCCCACATTTCCTGTGACCTGGATTCAGCCCACTACTGTGTAATGTGCTGGGAGATGCCTAGAATACTGAATGTGCTGGGACAGTTGAAATGTAGCATTGAAAATCTGTATTGGACATTATCTGTTTTCAGTTACAATTTCTTGTTTTCTCACAAATGAACATTTTTCTGTAACCTGACTGAGAATTTCACAGTGGAACTACACCTCTACCCCGATATAACGCTGTCCTCGGGAGCCAAAAAAATCTTACGTGTTATAGGTGAAACCGCATTATATCGAACTTGCTTTGATCCACCAGACCACACAGCCCCGGCCCGCCCCCCAGAGCACTGCTTTACCGCGTTATATCCGAATTAGTGTTATATCGGGTCACGTTATATTGCGGTAGAGGTGTATATTATTAAGCTGTACTTTAACGCAAAAGAATTCCCACTGTACTCAAGTTAAAAACAAGCAAAATGGCACACAAGCAAGCAAACAAATTTTTCAAAGGTGATGTTTACTTTAAAATTGAGAATGCAGGTTCGCTCTGGAGAAAAGCAGAGCTGCTTTTAAAATCTAGAAAAACAATTACAAAAATTACATACTTAGTCGAACTGAGACCCTCAATGGTCGACATCATTTCATCATAAGTATCTTCTTCCATCCTTCCCTTCTGGGATGTATTTCTAAATATATAGAGAAAGACACAGAAGCTATTAAGCATCAAATCAATTTCTGGCTTATGAATGTGATGCATCTCTACTCAGACTTCCAAAATGTGCTGTAGAATATATGCACAGTGTAGATGTCACATACTGCTATGGTTATTCATCATTGTCACTTAATTACAAATATCCTCAAAAATATATGAAACCAACAACATGATCTCCAAAATAAATCCAAGAAACTATTTAAACAAATATAAATCATTCCAATACTTTATTACACACTGAAGCCAAACTCAAGTCTTATCAAAGCAAAAATACAATTACCTTATGTCCATTTTCTGAAAAATTTCAAACAAAATTTAAAAAAAAACAATTGGGAACATTCTCAATTACTGCTAATATGAAAATCAAAAAGGAATGGCACACAAAAGTATAAATTTCTCTAAAGTTACCCTCCCTCCATACACAAACAGCATCTCACTTACTTTCCTATAAAAAGGAGGATATGTAGTCAGTGAGGAAATATGGGGCGTCCAGAGTGACAGAACAAGTACAGAAGTATAAGGAGAAAGGAGGAACTCACTTATAGTTTACAAGTGAAGAGGGACATAACTGTTCTTGTCTAGATCCATGCAGACTAACACAGAGAGAGACACATTTAATGTAATACAACAGCTCCAGCAGATTAATTAACAACAATCAAATTATCATTCAAGACAAATTATTTTGAAGGCAGTCTTTTGTCAAGATGAAAAATCTCTTCCTAGAGAAGTTTTCATGAGAAGTCTTTGAAAGACCAAATTTGGTGTGTCTGGTTATTCGTGAGAGACATTAGCTGCAATATCCATAATTCAGAAAGAGTCGGCTCTAACTTAATAAAGCATAAGCGCAGCTAAGAAGCATCTTGTGATTAAATGCAATATTTAAAAACTGGACTTTACAAATTGTTCTACTGAAGATGAATATGAGACCTGTATATGCAACCATGAGATATTTTAAATGTCTCAGACACCAGTTCATCTTGGAATGATGTACCCTGCAGGCTGGAGAACAATACAATAACCAGAGCCGGCCGGCTCCAGGCACCAGCTAAGGAAGCAGGTGCTTGGGACGGCCAATGCATAGGGACGGCACTCCGTCCGGTATTGGAGTGGTCTGTCCGGGTCTTTGGCGGGAATTCGGCGACGGGTCCCTCATTCCCTCTCTTCCTCCTTGAGCTGCCAAAGAGGAGGAGAAGGAGTGAAGGAGCCGCCGCTGAAGAAGCGGCACGATTGAGCTGCCGCTGAAGTGCCGCCGCTCATCTTTTTTTTGGCCGCTTTGGGGTGGCAGAAAGCTGGAGCCGGCCCTGACAATAACTTCATCGAACAGAGTATGTATAAAGAAATGGCCAAAGCTTGCTATTGTGAATGAGAATGAAAAGGGGGTGTAGAATAACTACCAGGAAAAATTCTGTCACTGATAATTTGTGGGATGGCTATGTCACACCAGAACACAACTAGGGCAACCAGTAGGGAACAAGTAAACCTTGCAGAGCTCAAAATTAGTTTTAAGATTTGCAGGCTCATAGAACCACTGTATTTGACTTCATTAAAAACATCTAATTTACTACCGAAGTCATTCTTCAACCAAGATCCAATATTCTTCTTGCTAAACAGAAACAGGTGCAGTGTATCTGAAATTGATCTAGAGTGAAAGTTCTCTGGGGCAGGTACTGTTTTATTACTTCTTTGTACAGTGCCTACCACAATAGGTCTTCCTGCCAATCTAGAGTTTTTTGTTTTAATAAAGTCACATCATTACAGTATGTCAAATTGTAATGGGACCACACGGAACAAAACAACGGTGCTGGACTTACCTATCTGAAGTCTTTTGACGACCTGTAGAATTCAAAGGTATCTCCTAAACAAAAGGATTTGTGAGTGAGTTATACATTTTATAAACTAGAAAAAATATTTTACATGGCTGGTAAGAGAAAGCTACTTAAGACACAGTGATACAGCACAAGTGGGAGGAACTCAACTGACAACTCATACTGCAGCTCTTTGTTCCCCAGTAGGCAAGCAGACACAGAGGAGCTGCAGAGGTGTTGTGTAGAGCATTACATGGTATTTGATTAGCATATAAGTTTGGGTTAGCTGAGAGAAAGATACATCTCTTTCATTTACTTTTCACCGCCAGAAGATCTAAGATTCAAACACCATATCATAACTTGGTGTTATGTAAGCAGTGAGGGGAAACGGAGGATGCTGCAGGGTTAGAGATGCTATCCGTCAGAGGAGACATTACAGTGAGATCTCTTTTGGATCTAGTGGGTCCTGGGGTGAAAGTTAAGATCCAAAAAGGACAGAGAATAACTGTGATGCACTGGAGACAACATCACCTCTCTCAGTAAGATGAGCTTAATAGCTGATTTATTTACTTACAGTCACTGCACTACCCTGGCCCAGATTCAGCAAAGCACTTAATTAAAATAAAGCTGAACATCAATAGAATTTACATTTGTGCTAAAGTTAGGCATGGGCTTAATTACTTTGCAGAATCAGAGCCTAAACTGCTACCTTTAAAATCCTCTCTGAAATTCCAGGAGTATGAAAAGGAGAAGAATAAATCCTGTTTTATTCTTCACGGTAGCACTGTCAAGCTAATTAAGGTTCCCATTGAGAAAAGCAGTTGTGGCCCCCTCCAGACTGGGGCTACGTTTTAAATTGATCCAGAAACTGAAGCTGGTGCAGGATGCAGCAATCCTCTTGTTATGTGATTAACCTTTCCATTCATCCTATGCTCTGTTATCTGCACTGGCCTGTTCATGTCTGGACTGATTCTATGGTCTGGTTATATGATCACTTGTGTGTGTGTGTTGCCTTCCTGCTTCCTACTCCCTGTTTTATTTTCTGGTGCTCTCTCGGTGTTTCTGTTCCTGCTTAAAGCTGTGTGTGTGTGCACAGCACGGGGTGTCACTCTCTCACACACACACACACACACACACACACACACACCCCCACGCAGGAATAAAAAATAAAGTGCCAATCCAACCATTACCTTTCTTTGTCTCCCACTTGGAGCTGAAGATTCACTGCTGACACTTTCTCTGTGGTTCAGGTGGGCAAAGGGCCTGGCTGCTCCCCAGGACTCCAAATAACGTGTCATACGGACAGAGGCTCGCATCTTCAGCCCATCGTTCACTCGTGTTTTAGGGAGATGATTATTCAACGTACGCTGTTTAGACTAAAAGTAAGAGAGACACATTTACGTATAAAAAAAAAGTACACTGCACTCTGAAGCTCTGTTGGATTTGTACCTCAGAGCCACACAACTATGTAGGACCTTGGTCTCCAGGGATATGGTACTACATATATCAGCCAGAGTGCCATCCTTGATTCCCCATCCCCTGTCTTGTTCGACTCTAGTTTAAGCAAAGCATAAACTGAATTGCCTGAGGTTCCCTGCTTGGAAAACTGCTCTGATTCAACCTTCTGGCTTTCTGGACCACGTGTAGCATCATCAGAGATCGCAGAGTCTTGCAGACAGATGAAGGGATTTCCTCACTGTCAGAGGAAAGTCAAGGCAGGACGAGACCATAAGCATGAAGTCTTGGGTACATGACGCAGAGGGATCCACACAATGGTTGGGAGGAAGCTTGACAGAGTTCAACAAAGCTCATCCCTGGATTGCAACGGAGATTATGTCCTTCTGCCATGGATGAGTAGCAAAGGAACATATAAGCCTCGTAATGCCCCTTCATGTGACCAAAAGCAGCTGACACATTAGGGATAACTGGGGTAATAAAAGCATCAGATCTTAGATAGTGCACTGATGAATAATCATATCCTCGCATTTTAGGCATCTCCAGGAGCGCCACAGCCATTTTAATGGAGATATATCAAATCACGCTGATGAGTATACACACAGCATAGTGTGCCAGTAAAATCACAGAATAGTGTAAAGCACTCAATCATCTGCATGTCTTCGTAGTACCCAGTCTGTAATTTAAAACAGCTAAAGAAGACAATTTGATTTGTTTGCTGCAAATTCTTTTTCTTTACAATCTTTGGATACTTGGATTTAAAGGAAATTACGTGGCCTCATAGTTCCTAATTACAGGGAGATAAAAATTTGCATACTGCTTCAAGCTATTATTAATCAATGAGATTGTACAGGAATCACTTGATGATTGCCCTGTTCTGTTCATTCGCTTTGAAGCATCTGGCATTGGCTGCTGTCAGAAGACAGAATACTAGACTAGATTAATAAATAATAAATAATAAATA